ACCAAATTTTTGATTGATTCAGGTTTCTCAAAAGGAAAGATTGATACTACTCTGTTTATCAAGCGACAGAAATCTGACATCATTCTGATTCAGATCTATGTTGATGACATCATCTTTGCCTCTTCAAATCCGCGCCTATGCCAACATTTTGAGAAACTGATGAAAACCAAGTTCGAGATGAGCATGATGGGTGAACTTAACTTCTTCTTAGGCCTGCAAGTAAGACAACTCTCTGATGGCATTTTCATCAATCAGTCCAAATACATTCAGGATATGCTAAAAACATTCAACATTGAAGGCAAATCTTCCATGACGACCCCTATGTCCCCAAACAATAAACTGGACTCAGACCCCTCAGGGAAGCCAGTTGATGCTACGAATTACAGGGCCATCATTGGATCTTTGCTATATCTCACGTCAAGCAGGCCTGACATTGTCTTCTCCACATGCTTATGTGCTCGCTTTCAAGCCAATCCGAAGGAATCTCATCTGACCGCTGTACGACGAATTTTAAGATACCTCAAAGGCACGGTGAATCTAGTCCTTTGGTATCCCAAGCATTCAGGCTTTGATCTAGTCGGATACTCGGACGCTGATTTTTCTGGTTGCCGGATGGACCGCAAAAGTACATCGGGAGCCGTCCAATTCTTGGGCGAGAAGCTAGTCTGCTGGTCTTCCAAAAAGCAGAACTGTGTGTCAACATCTACAGCTGAGGCCGAATACGTCGCGGCTGCTAGTTGTTGTTCACAAATATTATGGATGAAGACTCAGCTCCAGGACAATGGTTACACATTCCGCCACATCCCGATCTACAGTGACTCTCAAAGCGCCATCGCCATCACAAGCAATCCTGTTCACCACTCCCGCACCAAACACATTGATCTGCGCTATCATTTCATCAAGGATCACGTGGAGAAAGGAGACATAGATATGTACTTTGTAAGCTCAGAGCTTCAACTGGCTGACTTGTTTACTAAGGCATTGGATGAAAAAAGATTCTAGTTCCTGGTCTCCAAGTTGGGCAAGTTGAACCTCGAGCCTGTTTAATTTTTGTCTCCACTGGTCTGAAAAGTGTGTGTGTGTGGGACTTGTAAAAAGTGTGTGTGAGTGTGATCTGTAAATAGTGTGTGTGCGTTGCATGTGTTGAGGGGGAGAAAATCAGAAAAGACCAAAAATAGTGTGTGTGAGTTGCATGTGTTGAGGGGGAGAAAACCAGAAAAAGAACAAAAAATAGTGTGCGTGTGTTGCATGTGTTGAGGGGGAGAAAAATCAGAAAAAGAACAAAAAAATAGTGTGTGTGTGTTGCATTTGTACATATTGTTTGTTGCATTTTTTGGGGGGGAGAAAAATTTTCACTGTTTAAGGGGGAGCTCTAATTTTCACTGATATTGGGCCTCAAAAATTTTTTTAACTGATATTTTGAAAAAGGGCACAATCTTCTCGCGTATAAAAGCTTCGCGACAAACCCTTCCCTTCCCATTCTTTTTTTTCGCAAACAAGCACGGACAGAGCTCCCGAACTCCCTCATCTTCCCCAAACTTCTCTGCCGTTTCTCCTTCTTTCTTCTATCAGCGAACCCCTTACGAAGGTAGTTCATTACTCGCAACCACAATCCATCAAACATCCTTCAAAAATGAAAAAACGTTATCGCAGAACGTTCGAAATTTCTCAAAATCAAAAACCAAAAGAGTTTAAGTTTCAATTCAAGGTCGAAATCTTATTATATGTTGTTTTTCGCATCTATTGCTTTCGTTTTGCAGGTGGAATCGTCATTCCGAGATATTTGATCTCGATATTCAAAATCTCCAGATCTCGAGTTCGTCGATTCATCTTCGAGAGAGATCTCGAGATTTGAATCTCGAAATCAAGATCTTGAGATTTGAATCTCGACATCTTGATCTCGAGATTTGAATCTCGACATCTTGATCTCGAGATTTGAATCTCGAAATCTTGATCTCGAGATTTGAATCTCGAAATCAAGATCTCGAGATTTGAATCTCGAAATCTTGATCTCGAGATTTGAATCTCGAAATCAAGATATCGAGATTTGAATCTCGAAATCTTGATCTCGAGATTTGGATCTCAAAATCTTGATCTTGAGATTTGGATCTCGAGATTTGGACTTAAACTGCTTTTTCAAAAATTCCACCTACATAAATTGTCTGAAACCTGCAAACCAAAACTCTTTCAATCTAATCTCAGAGAAATCAAACCGATGAATTTCATATGCTGACCCCCTGCTTTTACAGTTTATAATGGCAGGAACAACTCAAACACAGATTGATGACGCCATCTACCCCAAGGGCAAGTGGATCAAGGTGTTGGACAACAATTTCCAGCTAGACCTTATAGTTTTCAAGTGCCAGAACCCAGTGATTCCAGCAATAATGAAAGGTCACTATCTCTGGCCTGCACTTCACAACGCAAAACCAGTGCCAGAGATATACCTACAACAGTTTTGGGGTCACATGCATACAGAATCACCGAAGGATCGCTCAAAGATAAAGACAAAACAGAACGGCATGCGCGTGATTCTGACACCATCAACTCTACGTACTACACTAGCGCTGCCAATCCACGACACGTATGATGCGCTGCCATCCATCTCCGATCTGCTCAAAGACGTGGCATCTCTCGGCTACACCTCCTTACTGCCACAACTATCAAACTTCAACGGAGCCTATCTCCATCATCCGTGGAAGAGCCTATTCGGGCTGGTGAACAAGTGCCTGTCGCCGAAGCATGCCGGATTTGACAAGTGCAACAAGCAGATCCTGCTCATCTTTCATGGCATTGCATTCAACAAGAACTACGACATGGCACAGCTCTTCTTCTCAGAGCTAATGGACCTGGTCAAAGCAAAGGAGAAAAACAGGCCAGGTACCATCCTATACGCAAGGTGGCTCGGGCTGATTATCAACGACTGCATGGCAGAGCACTCTTCCATCCCGAGACTAGGGCTGGGGAAAAATACCGAAACGGCCGAAATACCGCTCTTACCGTACCGAAAAATACCAATTTTACCGAAATATTTCCTTACCGTAAATTTTGATAAGGTATGTTACCGTACCGAATTATTTCGGTACGGTATCGGTATGTATCGTATAAATTTTCGGTATACCGAAATACCGTAATACCACATATATATTTTTCTTTTTATTTACATATACTTATTAACTATGGCTCTTGAGTAAAAAACAGTCCACTGCCCCAATATACGTATTAGCCTAGCCCAGTTCGGCCCAAAATAAACTTCTCCAAAATCCTAACTCCTAATCCAAACTCCAAAGTCCAAAGTCCAAACTAGTTGTGTAGCCTGTCAGCCTGTGTTGCCCTGTGGGAACTGTGGACTGTGGAGTTACGATTTACGAAGGTCGAAGAACGGGACTGGAACTCTGGAAGAGCCGAACGAAGAAGAGATAGGGTTTCACAGTTCCAAAGAGGTCTTCATCTCCACTCTCCAATACCTAATCGCTCTTGACGAAGGTACTCTTCACCCCATCCAACTATTACTTCATATCTTAATCGTAATAATATATCACCGTTGTAAACCCCTGCTCAAGTATGTAATCCATCGATCTTCTCTCTGGATGAAATAGCTATTGCTCAAATATATCAGTTCCATCTATCTGTTTGCTTTCTTCAGAACCATTTACCCCTTTGATACGAAAAGGTATTCTCCATCTGAGTTGTAATATGAAAACATGATTTTCTCTTGAAAACACCTGTAACTTTTAATATTATTTCAGTAATATTTGGTCTAGGTTAGAATCTGTGATGATTTATACATTTAACTTTTATGGCTATTTAACATCTCATAAACTAATGATTTGTTTTGATTTCAGAAGTAAGAATGGAATCCCAGTCATCTCATTCTCTTCCAATTCCATCTGAATCACCCAATATGATTGAATCTGAAACACGTGAAGCTGCCACTAGTCGAAAACGAGCAAGGAACAAATCAGCAGCACTTAAGCTCCCAGTTTCTGAATCTCGAAGCATCTATTGGAGTCATTGTCAAAAAGGGTCAAGGACCTTGTTGGATGGCACTGTTCAACCAATCGGAACGTGCACGTATTGTCAAACGCAGATCCCAGCGAGTCATGGAAGTACCAGTGGGTTGAAAAACCACTTAGAGAAGAGGTGCAAATCAAGTCCCTTGTACAAAGCAAGTGGAAGTGACAAAAGTCAGTCTGTATTAACGAATGAGACAATGGGACAGGTCAGTGAATTGGTGTCTCATACTTTCAATCAAAAAAGGTGTGAGTTGAAGGTTACTCAATATGTTATTATCGATGAGATGTCATTCCGAGCTGTTGAAGGGAAGGGCTTTGTGAGTCTTGTGCATGAACTACAACCAAGATTCAGAATCCCAGATCGTAAGAAGGTGGCAGGTATGATTTATGACTTATTTTTAGTTGAGAAAGCTAAAATAAAAAGTGTCATAAGTGGGCAAAGGGTAAGTATCACAACTGATGCTTGGACTTCCATACAAAACATAAATTACATGGTTGTTACTGCCCACTTTTTGGACAGTGATTGGAAATTGCACAAAAGAATAATTAATTTTACAAAAATCACAAGTCATATTGGGGAAGATATTGGTAAGGTGGTTGAGGTGTGTCTGAGAGAGTGGGGGATTGAAAAAGTATTTTCGATAGTAGTTGACAATGCTTCTTCAAATGATACAACTATTGACTACTTGAAAAAGAGAATGAAAATCGAAAATACATTGATGTTTGAAGGAAAGTACTTGCATTTGAGGTGTGGATGTCATATACTCAATTTGATTGTTAAGGATGGTCTCAAAGAACTCAATGATTCAATTGAATCTATAAAGAATGCAGTTCTTTTCATTCATTCTTCACCATCTAGGTTGCATAAATTTAGAGAGTTTGCCGTATTAGCGAAGTTTTCTAATACATCAACTGTGCCTATGGATGTAAAAACAAGATGGAATGCAACTTATAAAATGCTTGAAGTTGCATTGAAGTTTAGGAGAGTGTTTGAAAGGATGGCTGAAGAGTGGTTACCATTTATGAAGTACTTTCGTGAAAAAAATGAAAAGGGTAAAGTACGGGTAGGGCCTCCAAGTCATGACAATTGGGAGAATGCTAAAGCTTTTGTGCACTTTTTAAAAAAGTTTTATGATGTAACCTTAGAGTTAAGTGCATCAAAAACTCCCACCTCTCAATTGCTTTATCAATCCATGATTGCACTACAAATTGAGATAGAAAAAAAGAAAAATGACAATTCTGACCCAATTCTCAAGAAGGTGGCTAGTGCAATGATGTTGAAGTTTCAAAAGTATTGGGGCGAGTGGAATACTATGAATCCTTTAATTTTTATTAGCAATATTTTGGACCCAAGAAACAAGCTTCAGATGATTAAAGTCAGTATCAAGAAGCTGCCAGCTACTTCTATAAAGGTCCAAGATTTTGTTGATAAAGTCAAAAGTGACTTAGCGACTCTGTGGGCAGAATATAAAGGCATAAATGAGACCACTAATGTTGAGCGGCAAAGTATGAAATTGGAGTTGGAAGGTGGAGATGGTACTAATAATGCAGGTGATGGTCTTTGGGATGAGTTGTTTACCGACGTTGAAGCACAAAATGAAGAAGAGCAACTCCAAGAGATTTCTAATGAGGTAGATAAGTACCTAGCTGATGAGATTGAGAAGAGATCTAATCAATCTTTTAATCTTTTGGAGTGGTGGAAAGGAAGTGAAACTAGGTATCCAATTCTTTCATTGATTGCAAAAGATATTTTTGCAATACCAAGTTCAACAGTTGCTAGTGAGTCTGCTTTTAGTTTAGGTAAAAGAGTTGTTGATCCCTTTAGAAGCAGTTTAAGTCCTAAAATGGTTGAAGCTTTGATTTGTACGAATGATTGGTTAAGAGCAGAGGATTTCAGCTTTTATAAGGATCCAACAGATGATGACCTTGACTTGTATAAAGAGATTGAAGAAATTGAAAAGAGTAAAGCTTTTTTATTGCATTAACTTTAGATTTAAATGATAAATTTTAATATTAATCTAATGCATCTTTATATTTCTTCTACAGATGCAAATGTGACTCAAGAACGTTCTCAGACTCAGCTGCCAGTATGAATGCATGGTTGCCATTGGGTAAAATCATTTGCGCAATACTTACTGCTTTGAGATATGTTTGGAGCCTGCTTTTATTTACTCCAGTAATAATTTTAAATGTTTTTCAGTTTTCATCTAGATAGATATGTATGCAACCAGTACTGCTTTTATTTAGTGCAAAATATTTGATCAGTACCACGCTCGTGCCCTGAACTTTGAGCCTTCAGAAATTTGCACAATAGCTTGACTCTCTGGATTAAAACCCTTATTTTGCACAATAGCTTTACTATTTTGTTATTTCTCCATTAATTGTTTTTTCACCTTTTTCTTTCTCTTTTCAGAGCTCAAGGAATGATTAAACGATAGCCATGAGTTCAGTGATCATGTGGATTTCAGATTTCGAGCTGCTTCATCTATTTTGCTTTAATGAATTATATGCTATAATTTCATTTAAATATGTACTTGAATTGTTTTTTTGTCAGATTTAATGTGCTTTGACATTTTAAATTTGCATTGCCTTGATTCCCTTGAGCCTTAGATTCTTGAATAGGGTTGAACATGATTGTAAGTTTTTCATATTTTTTGTTTTAAAATTGGTATTTATTGACTTCGGTCCTACAAATGTTTCAAATTATGTTGTTGATGTTCCTATGCTAGAGAATCTGTCATTTAGGGGCTGGAGAATCTGTCTATGATATTTATTGTAGGTTTTTGTTAATAACTTTCGAATTTATTATGTAAGATTTTAGTGTGACAAGTCATTAGATTTTCGGTATACCGATATGAATTTCGGTATACCGAATATACCGATTATTCGGTACGACATCAATATGCTATTTGGGGTTACCGAAACTTCGGTATACCGAACCTTCGGTATACCGAAATTTCGGTACGGCAACGGTATGCCATTTTCGTATACCGGTATTTCGGTACGGTATACGGTATGACACAAATTTTTCGGTATGCCATACCGAACCAGCCCTACCCGAGACGCAGTACTGATCCACACTACACCGCACCGAAGCTGCAGTACTTCAAAGCAGACAAGAACCCTGTCTTCGGTCGGCGGATCCCTGGGTTTCTGCTCAATCTAGTCAAATCATCAAATCCGGTAGTCCAACAGTACAAAGAAGCCATTGAGAGAACTATCCCTATGGTTCAGCAAAACCCAGCTGGACCTACCCCGGGGACAAAGCCGAGTGTAGGTAAGGGTCCAAAGAAAATCCAAAAGCCACAGAAACCAGTGGCCGGTTCGCCCCATGAAGGAAAGTCTGACGACTCTCTCGAGACGAGTCAGACGGCTGAGGGCACCGAAACAGACGCTGAGGAATCTGCCGATGAGTCGTCAAGTGATGCCCAACCAAACACTGATGATGAGGCATCCGAGAGCGTGAGTATGGATAGCGAAGAGTCTGGCTCTGATGATGATGACGACAATGACAGTGAAGACGTTGAGCACACCTATGCTCTGATCCGAAAAGGAAAGCTGCCTGTCGAATCTCCAAAGAAGAAGAAGATCACTGCTGAAGACGCAGCACAAATAATCGCAGGCAGACCCCAAGTCTTCACTATCAAAGAGCTGACTAAACCAAGAGCCGATCCCAACGAAACAAACTGCTCCAAGGATGACTACGATGAAGCAGCTCATACTATAAAGAATTCCAAAGACGTCGTCATCCGGGAGAAAAGGGCCAATATTAAAAATGACAAAGCTGCTAAGTCAAAGCCCCAGCCCCGCGTCAGAAAGAGCCTCATTGATAAGGCGGACGACAACATATTTGCCGGTTGCGATCCCTTTATCCAGATAAGCCGAGCCGAATCCTCAAGTACAGGAGCCGATCTTTTCGGTTCCCGGGTAGAAGTCGCAACATCTGGCTCAACTGCGCAAGCACAGCCCTCACCTAGCCACTCGATAGCCTCTCAACAGGTTATCGTTTCAAAAGCACGGGACTCAACCCCCTCACTGGTTCCTTCCGAATCAGTTGAGCGTACTATTGACCTATCGCCCGAGGTCAAAACCCCTTCTTCAATCACATCGAGTCCAGGTGTCACTTTTCCTACATTTTCTTCTTTTTCTAGGACACCTACACTATTCACAGCACATACAGGTGCACACACCCTGAAAGCAACAACCAGAGCGCAAGCTATGACGGTTGGAAGCCCTGCTACGCCTTCAATGATTCCATCATTGCACGCAGGCCACACATCAGCTATCTTCACTGATGCTGTGCCAACAGTTACAACCCCCGTAACTGGTCACCCAACCTTTGAAGACGTCAACGTTCTACTAAATCGCTTCCTAGATTCCACCATTAAACCATGGGTGCAAGATGCAATGATCGCTCTAGCACGGGAATTTAGGACCACCCAAGCGGTTCAGTCTGAACAACCCCCACCCCAACCCTCACCCGGACCATTCATCTCCCATACCTAACCAGTATCCTCCACCCCTCTATCTCACCAATCCATCAACCAAATACCCGTTCCTTCACACTCTCGGGGAACCCAGGATACATAACTAGTATTCTCCCCACGCCCGACCACACCCTCCATCGATCTCTCTTCACTACCCTTTGAAACCCTTGCATCGGCCTTGCTGGACAATCTTCTAAACATCCCTGAAGCCAAACTTACCCTTCACTAGCAAGCCATTCTCGAAGCCCTCCTTTCCTCCCCGGAAACCAAAAGCAAATGCAAGGAGAGTCCTCGTGGTCGCAAACGTTCCCATGAGGACCCCGATGATTCGAATCCTCATGAGGGGGAGAACAAGCGTCCACGATCACTTGAGCAAACTGCTTTACCTAGCCAAACTCCACAACCCATTCAACCAGAAACCTCTACCAACCAACAGCCACCACCCGCAGCCAACATCTCTAGCCTGGTCGAGCTAGACATAACATCCCGAGGCGTATCTCCTAGAGATATCAACCGAGGAGGGGATGGAAGTCCTGATGATGCTACCACTGGTACATCTTTTACATCAGGCCATCAGTTAGAACCTAGTTCAAAGCTGATGACAACGAGAAATCCTAGTGAACCCGGTGTTTCGATTAAAAGGCCTCCGTCTCCAAAAGGTCAACCTGCCACTACCATTCCGTCGTCAGATGAAATGCATGATCAGCTAGAAGATATCATTATTCACGACAAATGGCCCAGACAGTGGACGGAGATGGATCAAATCATGCAGGATGAAGAGTGCGAAGATATGCAGAGGAACTGGTTTCTATGAGAGCTAATCAACAAATGTGCTGAAGATATCATCAGGCTCGAGGACGATGAACGAAAGGAAGGGGAGAACTACAAGGAATCTCAGAAAACACTTGAATCTGTCGTCAGACAATCAGCGGGAAGACTTCCCAAGACAGAGAAACCTTGGGACAATGTTCGAATCAAAGCCCCCTTCCAAGAGGAAATCAGAGAGCGTATTTGGCGTAGACCAGACAAAGTCAAACCGTTGAATGAACTGAAGCTACGAGGCCTTACCCATCTCAAAGGAAAGCAGGGTGGAGGTCATCTACATATGTTGTTGCAAAGGTCAACCGGTACTCAAAGAGAGCTGATGGAACAAGACTTGAAGTCCAATATTCTCCCTATTCATCAAATTCTACAAGTGAAGGCCGGGGATTATCACGGAGTGACTTTCTATTCTTACAGGCTTCAACGCACTGACAGGAGTGAATTTACTTGCCAAGAAAATGATTTCATCATGCTTAAACCAGACGACATCTATCAAATGTTTATGGCCTATTGATACCTTCCAGTCAGGCAAAGCAAAACATACAACGAAGGTCTTGCAGCAATCAAGAGATTCATGCTTAGACAAATCAGAGTGCACTCGTCACACGACCTACAGATGGCTATTGAGTGCAACTTGACAAAAACAAACCTTACAAAGCCAAGACTGTATGGTCCAGAACTCGAAGACTTCCCAGCTTACCACATCTTCTTTACACCGCCAGTGGTCACATATCTCAACCACAAGAACGAAAAACGCCTGATGGTGGTTAATGAAATTGAGAAATATTGTGATGGAACGCTGAAGATAATCAAAGAACAACTTCTAAAGATGAAGGCACAGCTAGAGGAAAATCTTCAGGAGGCATCGTCATACGTTCAAAAGGAACACTCTACAGTGGAGACAATTTTAAAAGCCATCGACGATCGTCTAGAAAAGAGAAATATGCTAAGGCAATACGAGCATGCACTGAATATGAGGAAGCACTATTTCAAGTCACAGAAGCAATAACAAAGTGGCACTTGATCACAAAGGGGGAGATTGTTGAAGATATTTTAATTGTGAATCAAGTTTGTCATAGATTAGCTTTATTATTATTCCTTGTATTAAATAAGTGCATATATTAGATTGAATGTGGGCCAAGTGTTAGGCCCATATAAACAGGCTAAAAGCCTTTCACGCCTAACCTGAACCTCGCCTATAAAAAGGGAGCCGAGGGTTCAGGATTAGGTTAACTTTCGTACTTGTTCAATATAGCCTTAAGCGCATATCTTTCTGTGTACGAGTTCACGGTATATCAAAGAGGGTTTTACATCGATTCATTTGTGTTCATCTTTACGTTTAATCTTCTTTGTTAGACTGCTATTCATTGCTGTTACAGAAACAGGGACTATCAGACTGGGAGGTGACAGGCCTTCCCGAATACAAGTCTATAGGGTGACATTCCAATTAGGGTCTTGAAAGCGGTTCTATATTCCCATAAGGCATCATCCATGCGAAGACTCCAATCCTTGCAGTTGGGGTTCATCGTCTTTTGGAGTATAGATTTCAACTCTCTGTTTGACACCTCAGTTTGGCCGTTTGTTTGTGGATGATAGGCGGTGGAGAGTTTGTGAGTGACGCCATATTTCTTTAACAAGGCACTCACAGTTTGTTGTAGAAATGAGTGCCCCTGTCGCTTATTAAAACGCGTGGCACTCCAAACCTGGAGAAGATGCAGGATTTGAGGAAGTCCGCTACCACTTTGGCATCGACGGTTTTGGTGCGTTTTGCTTCCACCCACTTTGAAACGTAGTCCACCGCCAAGAGAATGTATAGTTTGCCATGGGAGTTAGGAAAAGGTCCCATGAAATCTATACCCCATACATCAAAGATATCAACGTAGAGCATTCGTACTTGCGGCATCTCATGCTTTCGAGAGATGTTGCCCATGCGTTGACAATTATCACAAGATTGACAAAAGACACGAGCATCTCGAAACAAGCTAGGCCACCAAAACCCGCATTCAAGTACCTTCATGGATGTTCGTTTGCCTCCAAAGTGTCCTCCGCAAGCGTGTGAATGGAAAAATGCAAGGATAGAGGCTATCTCGTTCTCAGGAATGCATCTTCTAATGACTTGATCCTTGCAATGTTTCCAAAGGTAAGGTTCATCCCACACATATTGTTTGGCGTCATGTTGGAGCTTCTCCCTTTGAGATTTCGAGAAGCTTGGTGGGAACCTGTTTAAGACAAGGAAATTAACAATGTGAGCGTACCAAGGGCGAATTTCCTTTAGAGAGAAAAGAGTCTCACCGGGAAATTCCCCTCGGATGTCATCCTTGGCATGATCATTTCCTTCATCAAGAACGACTCAGCTTAAGTGATCCGCCACCAAGTTTTCCATGCCCTTCTTATCTTTGATTTCAACGTCAA